AAAAAAAAAAAGGAAAACAAGAAGAGAGCTCTGTTGTGCTGGGTTACAAGCGCGCTAGAGCTGCTTCCCTGAGGTCATGGGTGCAATAGATACTATAGATGCATTGACATTTGAAAACGAGATCTCACCAGGGAACTTCTGCAGATTCAAATCCAGTGGTTAAAAGCATATTTTCATACGTACCTTACTTTACTTCTGTGGGCTTGTTGACTTTAGGGCTAAAGGTTAGCTGAACAAAGCACAACGAAGTGGACTTTTCAGTCCAACCTTTGTGTCATATATTTTTACCGTCTCCACAGTGTACACAGGCATGAGGTTTTCAAATTATGATTTAACCAAATCTACCTGGCCTTGTATGAAAAGGTTGTTGTGCAAACGTTTGGCAGTGAGAACTGTTTTGTGTTTGCAGTAACTGGCAATGGGTCTTTCACACAGCTATTGATGAATTTAGACCCACTCATCTATGAAGAATTATTTTAATCAACCACATTAGAGGGTTTTCAAGTATGAATGGCCTGTTTAAGTTCATGCCGAAGCATCGCAGGCAGATTTAAATCTGGACTTTGACTAAGCCACTCCAAAACCTTAATTTTAGTTTTCACCCATTCAGAGGTGGACTTGCTGGTGTGTTTCTGATTATTGTCCTGCTGCATAAGCTAAGTGCAGTTAGCCAGAATTCTCATCCTTGTAGAGAGTGGCATGCATGGATGCATCAATTACAGCAAGTTGTCCAGGTGCTGAGCAGCTCCAGACCATCATACTAGCACCAGCACCATGTTTGACTGTAGTGTCAGTGTTTGGAATGCAGTTAGTCTTACACTAGATGTAACAGGAGGAGGAGGAGCTGAACTTTTCAGGTGCAGATCAAAGGAAATAGTACCCAAAACACACCTGGTTGTCAGGTGTTGAGGAGCAAGTGCTGAAAAGTGCTGAACTCACTGAACTACACATTGTCTCATCGTTAGTTTGGTGTTTATAATATTTGAGAATCTTTTGTGATTAAATTAAACAACCTTCAAAGCTTTTCTAAATTATATATCTGCTAACTAACTAATGTTACATTTTATTGATTTAAGCACTAATAGGAAAATCAGACCAGTTGAATGGTGGAGGTGTATCGTAACTATTTTGATGCAGGGGGAGAAAAGTCCAGTACAGACTTGTATTTTTTATCTTTTAATTTTTATCTGTAGACTAAATAGATTCAGGTTTATCAAAGATTTTTAATTGTGCAGTTTCTGAGTCAGGTGGAACAGCTCACTGTTGTTATGGCGATCATTCAGCCTCTCCCTCCCACTTTACAATGGCCTTAAGCTATGTTAACAAAATATGTTATGAATTACTAATTAATAATTAATTTTCATAAAGCATTATTGCACCTCTTTTTGGAAAAACTCGAAAATTGAATCCAGATCTGTGGAAACCACTCAAGTCGGTGGGTAATAGATAGATAGATAGATAGATATAACTTTATTTCGAACATGCAAATATAATTGAAATAACAACAGAAAAAAAACAAAAAAACAAAACTTAAAAATCATCAAGTTTTCATGTACATATCTTTGTCTACAGAATGCGTGTGCTCGAAAAGGAGTAGGATGACGTTTACACTTTTCTTGTTCCTACCCCCTTATTTCAAATTTCATTGCTTACAAATCCATATCCAGGATTCAACATTATTTGATCATATATGGTTAACTATGTACAAGTCTAACACATTGAACATACACAAATAAAAACCATTTTCAGCACGTAAACCAGAACAACAGCAAACTACATTTTTACATAAACTAATCACCCTGTCTATAACACCGCTTAATCTCTGAGCTTGTTTTATATCTATGTGACAAACACCTTAATAAAAACTTAAGGTTGAGTTACTCAGACCTTGATCTATAAAAAAAATCATGGAAGTGAGCTACACATATTAACAAATTAACCAAATGAAGTTGTTGAAATCCCTATAGCTGTTTTTATATCCAAAAGAACAGAAGTAAACCCTACAGGCCAGTAATTCGCCTTTTTGTTTGGCAGCCGCAGCTGTAGGCTGCCTTTGTTAAGTGTGCTTATCAAGCTGGAGTGCACTGCCAAGGGTCTCTTGACTTGTCTGCTAATTACCCACCGCTGGCTGGGATTCACACCTGTGGCCATACTCATGTCAGAATCTGGAAGTAAAGTGGTCCCTGTGCGGTGGGACGGCAGCCTCCCGCCCTGCTCTCAAGTCAGATTTGCTGGATAAGTAAACAGATGATGAGTCTTTGCTGGATGAAGAGTAGTTTGTCTTTGTTGACCTGCTGCCCCAAAGGCTTAGCCTCCAATGTTCTCTGTCACCATAAAGTAGTGCATTCAAGCAAAAACTGTCACAGATATCAGCAGGAATGAGGATTTCTGGAACTATACACCTGACTATAAGCTAGGTTACATGTAAGTATCGAGTGAACAGATGTCTAGTTTCTGAGTCTTATTTTGGTTCCTCTCTTCTTGTTTTTTTAAATTATTATTTTTCCAATAATCAAATGCTTTTTTCGTCCACTTCAGGTGTTTGGGAATGCACCTCCCAGCAGCATGATGGAGAAATTCTCCGACCTGCTGCAGTTCACCACCCAGGTGTCCCGACTCATGGTGACTGAGATCAGACGAAGAGCCTCCAATAAATCCACAGGTGAGCTTGCAGATGCACACAGACTCATATTTGTAAGTGTAAAAATGCACTGTAGAGTAGGCCTACTTGTAGACTTGTGTTCTTTGGCATCAGCCAATTTCTCATAACCGGTTTGTGTCTTCTGTTTTCCTTTTGGCTGTGCAGATGAACACAGTGGTGTTGAAAGGGATTTTTGTTCTTTATTTAGATACAAAGACAGTTCCCATGCAGAGTTTCAACTATAGAACTAATTGTAAGGCACAGATGGAGCATCTGAGCTTTGTTAGGTACACATAGTAGATGACAAGATAGAAATGAAGACTCTATGGAGTTTATTTTTTCACTTTCCCCCATAAAGACAACATATGACGACCTCCCCAGTACTCTTAATGATGAGTTTGGACACCTAAGTATATATAAATATGTCGTCTGATGACTATTAGAATATTTTCTGGGTTTTTCCAAGCTGGGTAATCCAAACAGGCATTGTTTTTTACAAGCAGGCTGAAATATGACAGAAAGTGCTGCAAACGTTACTCCTGTTAGGCTTTCAAGAGTTAGTGCCACATATGGCAAGGACCCTAATATACTGTAATCTGTATATTATTAGTGGACATAAGTACACGCCCATGCCTGATTATGATTGGTCACTGATTTTAGTCAATTATTTAAAAAAAATAAAATAGTTGATGCTCAATATAACTGTCTGCTCCATCCTGGAAACCCGATTTATTCTATGGATGTGCGTAAGAGCTTCGTCTTATTCTACCCTATCACAATAAGATTATTTTAGTAATTGTTCCCCTAAAGATATTACATATTTCATTGTTTTAGTAAAGAATGTTTAAAGCTGATTTCATGATTAATGGAGAAAAAATATTGGTGTTACCCCAATCAGATAAGGCCTTTCCCAGAATTTTGCACTTTATTTTTTGACTTTTTGGCTCTTAGTAGATACGTTTTCTTTAAAGGATCAATGCAATCCTACTTCAATCTGAAAGGTTAGTCTTCACTGCGGGCGAGCCAGCAGCATCTCATCAAAGCGTTGACAGCCGTGGCAGCTTTGACTGTGGTTTCCTCAAAAAAGACGCACACAAACACCAGCTTTCTATTTCTTATTTCTCCCGCTTTATCTCGTCCTTCCATCTCTTCCTCATCCCTGTCTAATCATGTGACGTGCTGTTATTAAACGGTGAACGGTTCTGATTTTGCAACACAACAGTCTAAAAAAACACTCCTACAGTTGGTCACCAGGCCTCTTTAGAATGAGTCAGTACATGATTCATGCTCTCAACTGACGTACTCATTATCAAAACAACAGATGTGGATTCGCTCTGAACAATGAGTAACTACACCTTGGCTCAGCTGGTGGGTTGGATTAAGGAAACCTTTTCAAAAGCATTTTTATTTCTGCTCACAAAAGCGACTAAAAATGTGTGATTTGCTTTTTTATTGTGGTTTGGTTCTAATGGATACTTGTTTCTAAACCTAGTGTGGCTATATTTGTAGGACAAAGAGTGCTGCAATAAAATTGGTAAAGACATGAGCTAACTGAAAAGCTAGAGCGTGGCACCGAAATACAATATTGATGTATTATTTTCAAGATCACAGATAACCAAAACCGAGAAGCCCAACCACACACGTTCCCTCTTGTCACATCCGCTGTAATGATTAATTTGTTACATATTTGATCATTATTCAAACAGCCCATCTGCCCCACAGTGAGCTGTCACTTTCCACCCAGTTAAGCACACGTTTGTGTGTGTGATTGTTTTTCCAGAGGCAGCCAGTCGAGCCATAGTCCAGTTCCTGGAGGTGAATCAGAGTGAGGAGGCGAGTCGCGGCTGGATGCTTCTAACCACCATCAACCTGTTAGCTTCCTCCGGACAGGTTGGTAGAAAAGACACTGTACAATACTGTGTGAAAGCCTTGAACCACCTCTCATTTCTTTAGCCCTTGGAAGCAAAAAATAAACTTTTTTGTCATTTCTCAAAATGTTCTTGAGCAATACTCCTCCAGGCTTTCTGGAGATGTTTTTAAAGTTTTCCTTTGGACATTAACTACTTTTTCATTTGTCATTTTCACTCCAGTCCTTTTGCCTCACCATTTTCAGATCTATGACTCATTCAAGCATTAAAACACCTCCTAACCCACAGGATGAACCAGTGTTGTGTTTGCACATAACCTCAAAATTAGCACAGCACCAATGTTAAATCTGTCTTTAGGCAGTTTCACAAGCATGAAATTGTATTTTTGCACCAACAATATGATTCACAGAGTGCTTTTAGCTGACACTTTGGCATATTTTGGAATGCTCTGCAGTGTGTCCTGGAGGACAAAGGAAGGAGGGGCAGGCCTAAAAATACTTTAAAGTCTCGTATTTAAGACATAGGAAACGGCCCTTCTGTTGACACATCTACTGTTCACTGAAGCCTCATCAGACATGGTCTCTGGTAAGCTGGCTGTCAAGAAGCCATTCATTAAAGGGAGAAAAGGCTGGTGTATGTCAAATTATGCAAGAACTGGACTGAAAGTCAGCGACAGGTCTGACGAAGTGATGATTTGCAGCAGTGTGGGGTAGAGCAGGGCGATATGACCAAAAATATTTATCACGACATACATTTGAAAATTTGCGATAACGATATAACTGATGATATAGTTGACACTGGACAAAACACTTTACAACTCCACAACTTTATTAGTGCAAAAAAAAAAA